TTATGTTTGAACTAGTCTCAGCGATTGAAATTTATATAATTCCAACGTTTTGTCCAGCTAACTTGTCTGGACTTCTTCAGGGTAGTCTTCACATAGACTATTATTACATTGACAAGAAAGCTGTTCAATGCTCCTTAGTTTTCAATAGTTATTTGCTTATTGAATAACGCGTAATACATAAATAAACGAAAAGTATTCACAATTGAAGTGGAATGAAAATTTAATCAAACGTATAAAACATGTCAAATGCAGTCAAGAGTGAACTCGTCAATATTTTTATGACCTTTCTATAGAATGATTGTTTTATAAAGGCTATTAGATAATAGTTATATGGTATCAATGAGAAAGATTCTTCTTCTTTGAAATCACATTCAATGATCAATAATCAATTGTTTTTTCATGGGAATTAAACAGTCACTTGTTTGGGTAATCATAATCATTCTTTTTAAAAAAATCTTATATCATAGCAACCATTCTATATCAAAGAATACGTAACTGAGATACTTTGATTTATAAAGGCTTACAAATGTAAATAATTAATGTACTGTGTACCAAAGAAGTATTTTTTCCGTTGTACAATAATCATAACTAATTGTTTTTTTCTCAAACTTTGCATTTTAGACTGAGATGATTGTGGTTGGTGGTGGAATCCAAAACTCTTGTTTTTTCCTATTTGGGACGTGTCAGCTGAATGTCCCATTATCTCAGAGTTGATAATCACTCTGGGTTTCAAACGCAGAACGACATCATGTTGTTTACTTAACTACTGAGTTCAAACAGCCCACAGTGAACATAAATCCTGGGATACAGGTACATCCAGTTGACGAGTTACAAATAGGACGAAACATACATCCTGGATTTCACTGCTAGTCACCATCCATGTTTGTTTATAACTCTTGAGACTTAAGGGAATAACGAGGCAATCCCTACTGGATGCACATATTTCAATATGAGTTTGATTAATTAAAGTCTTAAACATCAATGAGAAAACTCAAATAACCAACAGGAAAACGGAATAATAATATTTTAAATAATACAATCTACAGTGCTAAATAATGAAAAACTGAATCTAACTTCATAATATACTGATAATTAATCAGTAGTTAGTGTAGTGAACGACAACACAAGTGTAAAAACATCGAATGTATTTGAATACAAAATTACAGAATAACTTAGTAAAATCTAAGAACCATATAGTAAATACTTCATTTGCAACATGTCAATCAATCACCTCAGATTTGATTGTTTTTATATTTCCACACCAATCATTCTTTGTTCTCGTACTCTTTTCTTTGATCTTCTTAACTTTCTTCTTTTAGGTATTTTACTTTTGAATTATGTTACATACTACTTATATCTATCGAAATCAATGGTACACACCACATTCGTTTATAATCACAAACATTAAATCACACTTAGATTTAAAGAAGAAATAAAACAACATTCATCTTATAGCGGTCTATATAATATGCGGTAATCACAGATATTATAAATTCTACTTAGAATTCAATAAGCTGTATTTCATCCAGTTTATAAGCTATTCACATTATATTCTATGTTGTCTAATTAGTCAAAGGCACATCATAAAGTGACAAAACTGAACTACAATGAATTTAAACTCTGTAACTTAGACCAATTATTTGCGTAAAACATTTTTTTTACTTTAAAGGAAACAAACGTATATACAATATGGGAACAAATTTTAGGGCAAATATCTATGGGAAACCAATCGGATGTTTTAGTAATATATATCAGTATATAAAATGTATTTTATCAAGGAAAACATAATACAATATAGAGGTGAAAGTTATTTACATTCAAAATGTTAGGAAAAAAGTGTTTCAATTAATAAGAGAAAACGTTTGATGTAGGTCTTAATATTTGTGTTGATTTCTGTCTACCTACAAAATTGATATTTACCTTATGAACTAATTATATAATTCAATTGTCGGTTGATTGTTGCAAATAAATAGAAGATTTCAATTCTGTATTGCATACTTGAATTAATGAGTATGAAATGTATCATAATGTTTATACTACTAATATTAATCATAAAATAGATTCTGTTTTTAATTATTAAGCCTGGTTAGAGTCTTTTTTTTGGCCAGTTAGTTTTCTATGGGATATAGTTGCTAACCACATGCCAAACCCTCCTCATTTATCCGGACTTGGGATAGGCAGTAGACCCAGATGGGCTCCAGGCGGAGTCAATCAAATGATTCTTGGTGAAGAGTTAAATGAGTTATGAACTTTTCTAACCTTTTTACATATACGAATCAAATTTTAAAATGAACTAATTTGAAGAAATGTCATTTATTGAATCTTGTACATAACCAAGTAGAATCAACCTAATGACTTAACGATAATGTTGTATTTTTGAGATTAAGAGTTAAGTCATTCAATCATAAACACTGTCGGAAAGTTTCAATTTAGAATATTATTTCCGTTTCTTCTTTTCTCTATTTCCGAATAGCTACATATTTTGTGATGAAGTATCATTCAAGAATATATATATATCACAATAGAAAATTTAATAATTGAATTCATGAGTCAATTAAAGCTAGACCACCATGATAAACCTGGAAGTACTAGACGGTCATTTCGTCCTAGTATGTGACTTCTCAGTTGTGTGCATCCACGATCCCGATTCATGAATTCAACTATTAAACTACTATAATATCCAAGAAAACCCTCTCTGAATATAAGAGAAAATGCCTTCTTTTATTTGCATAGGTTTTACTGACTATATGTGTATCATGACTATTAAAATTTAGTGAAATAGATGTTAATGTATGTGTGTGTGCGAACATTTACCTATTCAAAGTTTATTAATAGTTAATTAATAATGAAATGTTGAAAGACTATTCATCAAGTTAAATGGTTTGATTTCACTTTGTCTAGATATCACTTTAAAGTAAACATTGATAGCTTCTATTCAGTTAAATCAAAGAGACTATAAAACGCAATATTGAACAAATATGTATTGAATCAGTAATGATGAGTTTCAAAAATGCCTAATTAACTTGTTTTCTTTATCATACAAATAAGTGTATGGACATGCAACTTAGAAACAACAATGTGCATATAATGAATTGATTCTATAAAATCTGGCACTAAGAAGTTACTATATTGGAGGATCTGAATAAATATGGAGAAATATAGGAAATGTTTAGGAATGTATAGTCAAAATGCAGTATCTTTCCTTTGACATAGATACCATGTAATGAAATTTGTTTGATTGAACTAAATATAACAAAAAACATTCCATATAATTAGACTATTATAATAAGTAGAATCAAGTTATCTTTTTTTTAGGTAAAGTCTCTATGCTTCAGGTTTTCAATAGTGCTCTTACATTAATTCGGTTTATGATTACGATAATCTCGACATTTTCTCGAGTATTCCATACTTTATTATAAAAATACATCATTTTGGAGAACATTTATGATCAGTGAGTACTGTATATCAAACTTATTTTAGTTTAACCATATTTTATACTGAGTCATGATATAAGTCAGAACGTTTGATTTTTCTATTCTTTGAGATATGATAAATAAATGATTTCTGATCACTTAGTAACTATTTTATTCACCTTAATAGTCCTCTGTTCAATTCATCTCTTTGATATATAGTAAACATTCAGTTGTAAAATGTAATATTTTATAAGTTACCACACTATTAAATTATTTTCATAGATCATTATTCAAGTCATAGTTTAGAAGTATTTAGAAGAATACAAATGGTACGAAGTATATTTTATTCATTACTTTCTAGTTATCAACATGAAGGTTGTTTGTTACTAAGATCATGAACCGATCATAGTTAAACAATCAATGGAAACTAAGAAATATTGGACAATTGTTTAGTTCTGATATGTAACACGGTGAAAGAGAAGAGTAAACTAATAACCTTCAGGTTTCAATACAAGACTTTAAATTTTAAATCACTTACTTGGGAGGTTATTGTGTACTTGTATGATCTTTGACAAAACTGTAGGCGGGCACCGATGAGGAGTTTTATGTTAAGATATAACAGTTATTTACTAATCATTATGTAATGTACAATCAATTGAGTATTCAACAGACATAGTATTATTGACTTTCATATTCATTTATGAATTTAAAAAAGTAAAAATGTATGATTGAGTCGTATTTGACATTAACGTAAATAATTTAACCTTTTAAGTTTGAGCCTAAATTGCTCAATAAAACATTGCGAGTCATCTAGATATTTTTTTCGTAAATCGCATCATTCACAATGTTCACTGGATTTGGCTTAGATCTTTCAGAAGAGTTTTAGTTTAGTTTAATGAAATCGAACTTATTACATTTAACAGAGATTATGATATATTTCTGAATATATCTTAGTGTACTATTTCGTCATGTTCTTTGTATATATATATACATATACATTAATGCTTGAACATCTGGGCTACCTGTTCCTTCCATCTACATATTTCAACAAGTTATTTGTTTCCTTGTTTGTTTTAATACATCAATATATCAATTAATCGCATCATCTATTCATATGCATTACTGAAAAATGTACAATCTATTGTTGTACAAGTTACAATAGGCTCTATCAGTGATATCGTGATAACTGACAATATACAATGAAAAACTATACATTATTTAGATGTCGATTGACTAGATTACTAACTTCTTACTTACAATCATTCAATATTTAGTGTTAGAATCGACCAAGAAGTAAGAAACGAAAACTTGTTGAAATAGATTATGCTAAGAATTCTACATTGTACCAAAAATGTAATATTGAATAAAGCCACTAATAGTAATTACATATATATATATATATATATATATATTCACCAGACTTCATTAAACTGATTAAGCTCCAGATAGAACTTCCGATATCTTATTGTTGAATATTTATAATTAAACATTTCATAAAACAGTTTCATTTTAATTCGAAAGAAACAGTTAAAAGGAAACTATACAAAGTATCAAACAATACAATAACATGAACAATGTAAAACTTACTTATTCGACAAGAATACTGAATGTGAAATATGAGTAAACTTTTTAAAACATCACTTCTATTGTTTGAATCACTTAGTACTTAGATCAAATGTACTAGATATATATATATTGTATATTGTATATTATATTTATATATAGTGAATAAAATAGTTTTTATTATTAATTAAATACAAATTATATTTGAGTTCTTAAATAAAATTTTATTATGAATAATATAACGCCCACAAGTAGTATAAATTAAAATTATCTAAAAATAACAAAATCAACCAATCAGAATTAAGCTGTGATATACAAAAAAAATTTTTTTTTTTATTTTTTTATTTTATTTTATAAACTAATTAGAAATGTTTATTTTTATTATTTTTGAGAAAAGTTTTAAGTCTATTTACTGATGAAAGAATGAAAGAAATATGAATATGAGGATTTGTGGAGATTGAAGTATATTTAATAGTTAAATTCATAAGTAAATCTAAACTAGATTATTATTGTTATTATTGAAAATTTGAAAATACTGGTTCCAATATGAGACTCCTTAGAAGTTTACATCTACGATGTCTCACACATAAGTGAAACCCAAGATTTTCGGTTTCTTGTGCCAATGTTTGACATTTAATTCACTAAATCGATATTCAACGGTGTGAGTATCTTACTTTAAACAATTTATTATCTAGCCCAAATTTTCATTTATTGTCTGACGTGGATAACTGTCTCGATTCGAAATGAAACTGGACTCTGCTGGTCCATAAGTTTCTCACTAGAACTTTACGAGTTACATTTTAAAGTTAATCAATAGTGAGCGCATGATTGTTAGGTAACAATGTGAGTATTTGTGGAGATTGTAGTATTTCAACAGTTAAATTCATAAGTAAATCTAGAATAGATTATTATTGTTATTGAAAATTTAAAAATACTGGTTCTAATATGAGACTCCTTAGAAGTTCACATCTACGACGTCTCACACATAATTGAAACCTAAGATTTTCGGTTTCTTGTGTGAATGTTTAACTTTTTCACCACTAAATCGACATTCAACGGTGTGAAAATCTTATTTTAAGCAATTTATGATCTTGTCCAATCTTTCATTTATTTTCTGACGTGGATAACTGTCTTGAATTGAAACGAAATTGAACTCTACTGGTCCATGGGCTTCTCACAAGAACTCCACGAGTTACATCTTGAAGTTAATCAATAGTGAGCACATGATTGTTAGGTAGCAATGTGAGGATTCCTGGAGATTGCAGTGTGGTGCGTGCTACCTATATTAATATAAGTAGTATATAACGCGAGTCAGGAATGTAATGTCTGACAGCAGAAGATTGGGAAGTTCAAGAAAGGTAGAGCGGGGATAGATAGCAAGTAGTATGGAAATGCAAGAACAATGAAGGCCGAGACAATTATTGAACATTTTAGATATTATAGTATGGTTTTTCTATTTTACCAAGTAACTCTGTAATTTTGTTTTAAATATAATTCGGTTGTTCTCACCTGTGTTCTCCTTCACTACTGTAGTATTTTAACAGTTGAATTCGGGAGTCACTATTGAAAATCTATGAGCATTAGTGATTACAAGATATCACATTTTTAGCTTTGAGGAAACGTTTTAGTGATAGAAACATTGTTTACCTTTCTGATATTTATAATAATAATAATAATAGACAACTTTCATAATTCTGTTACTTCAATTGGTCACTTGAAGAAGGATATTTTGATGATCAATTTAGTCAGAATCAGTTCAATCGTTGATAATCTAGTTCATTAAGTGAATTCATTTGAGTATAATATTTAAAAATATATATGATTTTGAATGAATTTCAAATAACTAAAAGACCGTAATATTCAATCTAATTCTTTCGTAATTTCACAGATCATAAACGATTTAACAGTAATTAAAGTATGATACAATTCACAGGTCAGTTAATTTTATGATATCCTAATTAGTTTTTATTCACAAATGGTTAATATGATTGACATATCAAACTTATTTGTTTAACTGTTATATAAAGTAATAAGAATCATATTGAAAGGGAATCAATGAAGCATAAACATTACTGATGTAAAGAAAAGTTCATTTGGATTAAACTGTATAAAGACTAAAAGTTATTATTGTTGTATATTACTTTTAAAGGTGGTTGGAATAGGTATAAATAGTAGAATCTTGAGCCTATATCATGGTATGACCGCTACTTGACGTCTGGAAACATTGAAAGGCTATTTTGCTGTATTATAGGGCTATTCATCAGTGGGAATACACACTCTTCAGATTCCAGCAAGAATACCTAACACCTAGACCACCTAGCTGGTGTCCGATGTTATGAATATCTAGCTTCAATCAACTCCCAGTGTTACACAACTCTCGTCTATCGCCTAAGATGAATACATTCCTCTCACCTGACACAGTTTAGCTCATTATGTCACGGCTTCCTACCAAAACTCTAGCGTAGTGTGTGCTACTGATGTTGACGGATATAAGTAGTATGTATTCGTTAAAGTGAAGGTTGAGAAGATCAAATAAAGGAGAACAAGAACAGAGAATGATTGCTATGGAAATGAAGGAACAGTGAAGTTTGAAGCAATTGATTAATATTTTGCAAATGAAGTATTTGTTGTATAGTCCACAGATTTTACTTAAATGTTCAGTAATTTTGTGTTAAAGTATATTCAATTGTCTCCGCTTGTATTCATGTTGACTACACCAGGAGTCTATAATCTACATATCAAACTATTTGGAAATATAAAAAATGACAAAACATCGAACTAGAACTGTATTATTGATAAGTTCCAACTATTCTATTCCAGCATGTGAAGTTCATGAAACACTCGTATTTGCACATTACAATGGAATATTACTTTATACATATAATAGAATCTTTATATACTGTGAGATTAAAATTGCTTTATATTTTTATTTCTACGAACTAATTCTTACATCCTGTACTATATTCTTATACACAATCTTTCTTTTATATATTCCTGGCATTGAAGTGATTACTCCTATGAATTTCGTGTTCATCTTGTGCTAATGAGGTGTGGCAACCTGGACCGATGCATTTATATGCCTGGTCCTACGTTGTAGATGATTGACTGATTCACGTATAAACACGTTTTTTCAAGCGAATGGTACTGGGTTAGACTCTCGGAGTGAACATCAAATCTAGGATGCCCGTACATCCAGCTAATGATTCCCAAATAAAACCAGACGTTCATCTTGGACTCTGCTGTCAACCATAATCAATCTTTGCTTATAATCCTTGTTAATTATGGCCATATCACGGCAGTCCGCACAGGATACACATACGTCTACAAGAGACTGATCAACTTCAGTTCTAAACATCAATGGAAAGATTTAAACAACCAATACAAAAATGAATTTCAATATACTATTACTTGTAACAAATCTTAGTTAAAGAATATCAATGAATAACTGATGACAATCTTTTTCTCATCCCAATTGTACGTTGTTTAAAATTTGATCTCACTTAAACATTGTCTCTTGTTTTTTCTTAGAAACAAACTAACTACAATAAACCAAAGTGTAATTTTTCTTTTTTTCATTCTTCTTTTTACTTTTGATAAAACAAGATTGTTTCAAACAAAACCAAAGAAACAAAAAACAATAATCAGAAGGGGTTTTGTGGAGATCTTAGTCATTTCAATAGTTGAAATCATGAGTCAATTGAGGCAGTATGGGATTCCTCAGTAGTGCACATCCAAAATCCGCCCCCCCCCCGCGGGATTTTAACCCAGGACCTAGGATGAAACGGCCGTCCTATGCTTCCAGGTTTTCCATGGCGGCTTAGCCTCAATTGACTCATGATTTCAACTATTGAAAAATGAATAATCAACTAATTATATCACTGAAATGTTTGACTTATTCACTACTTATAAGAGAAGAATTACATCATAACTGTTTTATTGAGAATTAGATTATTCGTTTTTTTTTCTGGCTTTTCAGGTTAATTTTCATAAATTTCATGATGTTTTTTAAGTATAATTTAGAATAAATTGAATATTGTCTAAAATAAATCCCCGTTTTTATGAGAAGTCTCATATAAGGACGAAACAGTAGTCCAGTGCTTTCAGGTTTTCTATGATGATGACTCATGAATTCAACAATGAGACTATTGAGCGAAGCTAGACTGACCTTAAGATTGTCCGCCTTATAAGTACGACCAAATGAGGGTTATAAACCAGTATGGAGAATTAGAATTATGATTTACAGTGGATAGTTAAGGTTAGGATATAGATTTAGAGTTTTCATCATGATATAATGCCAAAACTCTATTTAACCAAATGAATGAGTGAATTTCGTGCCAAAATCTGGGACGTATTATCTTGTATCTGATTGGTTCGTCCATAAATTAAAATCTCATCACCTCTTTTTATGTAACAAACTACTTTCAATTCTATACCATATAACCAATGAAAATAAACAATTGTACTTTTTTTTACTGAAATAGATAAGGAAAGATCATGTAAGATATTTAAAAGTACAAGAAAATGGTAAACATCAAAAGATTTATTTAAACTGCTTTAATTTATCCATTGAAATATCTTAAGGTTAGAAATGTTTTAAAGATAATGCATATGTCTCATCTAAGTTATAACGATCGAATTTGGTAATCACTATGTTTCAGCAGTTGAGATCATGAGTCAATTGAAGTTAGACCGCCATGGGAAACCTGGAAGCACTTAACGGCCATTTCATCCTATTGTGGGACTCCTCAGCAGTATGCATCCACGACCCAGCCTCGCGGGATTCGCACCCAGGACCTACCAATCTCGCGCTAGGCGCTTAACCAACTAGACCACTGAGCCGCCAACCAACGGTGTTAATGTCTAACTTCAACTAACCACTATATTACATAAATAATATGGCGCCATTCTATAGTGAAAATAATATATTTATTTGTCTTTCACAAAAAACACATTTAATTGTATGTCCATAGATCATATTTTCCATTAGGGTTATTAGCTTAAGAATAATATTATTCCATAAAGATTTAAAGTCTGGATTACCAATGTGTAGAGTAGAAGTTCTATGCTCTTCAGTTCAATCTTTTCGATTTTCTTTTGACAAGAATCCTGTTTCTAATCAGTGTTTCACTCTACTTACATCCGTCAACATAAGTAGCATACACCATATAATAAGTGATAGTAATGTCACAATTAAAAATTATGTAACTGACAATTG